TACGCTGAGGCGCGCAGTCCCCTTTATAGATTCCCTAGCCAATCAGGGTCCCCCCTTGATGGAACATTCTGGAGGCCTCAGCATGCTGGTCTGGCCAGTCACGCTCTAGGGGCAACTTCTGATTGGTTAGGCTACTAGCGATCATGAACTGTCCGCATGATAGGGCAGGGTAAGGTCTAATTCTTCCGTACCAGTCACAGGTAGCTATGTCACTTAATGTCTTAACCAACAATCTGGTGGAGTCACATCACCTCCTGACAAGCTCCAATACGAAACTGGACATATGCCAATTGAATATCTCTGGATTAGGGTCAGAGGGGAGAGCAATAAGGGTGATGTTGTGGTGGATGTCTCCTATAGACCACCAGACCAGGAGAATGAGCTAGGTGAAGTTTCCCGACTACAGGCCCTGGCTGTTCAATCACCCTGATATCTACTGGGAGGGCAATAGAGCAGTGCACAGAAAGTAATTGGAGAATGCTGAGGACCACTTCCACATGCAAGTGTTGGATAGGCCAACTAGAGGCCTGCTGCTCACAAACAGGGAAGAATTAGCAGGAAATGTGGATGGCAACTTGGGCAGCAGCGATCATGAGATGATTTGAACTCAGGATCCCGAGTAAAGGAAGAAAGGACACCAGCAGAGTAAGGACCTTGGACTTCAGAAAATCAGAGAATTGATGGGCAAGATTCCCTAGGAGGCCAGTGTGAAGAGAAAATAAATCCAGCAGAGCTGGTTGCATTTTACAAAAACTTTACTGAGGGCTTAGGAACAAACCACCCCGATAAGCAGGGAGACTAGCAAATATGGAAGAAGACCAGCTGGGCTTAGCAGGAAACTCTTCAATGAGCTAAAACACAAAAAGGAAGTTTAAAAGAAGTGGAAACTTGGACAAACAACTAGGGAGGAGTATAAGAGTATTGGTTGGTCATGCAGGGATGAAGTCAGGAAGGCTAAAATGCAATTGGAGTTGCAGCTAGCATGGGAGGTGAAGGGGAACAAGATGGGTTTCTATAAGTATGTCAGCAACAAGAGGAAGATCAGGGAAAGTGTGGGTCCCTGACTGAATGGGGGAGACAACCTAGTGACAGATAATGTGGAACAGGTTGAAGCACTCAATGCCTTTTTTACCTCAGTCCTCACAGACAAGGTCAGTTGCCAGTCTACTGCATCTGGCAGCACAGTTTGAGTGAGGAGGTGAGCAGCTGACAGAGGCAAAAGAACAGGTTAGGGATTATTTAGAAAAACTGGACATGTAAAAGTCCATGGAACAAGGTGTGACGTACCTGAGGGTACTGAGGGAGTTGGCGGATGTGATTGGAAAGCCACTGGCCATTATTTTTTAAAACGTGGTGATTGGGAGAGGTCTTGAATGCTTGGAAAAAGGCAAATATAATGCCCTTCTTTAAGAAAGGGAGGAAGAAGGATCTGGCAAACTACAAGCTGATCGGCCTCACCTCAGTCCCTGGAAAAATCATGGAGCAGGTTCTCAAGGAATCCATTTCTAAGCCCTTATAGGAGAAGGTGGTTAGAAACAGTCAGCATGGATTCACCAAGGGCAAGTCATGCCTGACCAATCTGATTGCCCTCTATGATGAGATGACCGGTTCTGTGAATGTGGAAAGAGCAGTGGATATGATATACCTTGACTTTAATAAGACTTTGTAGTTTCCCACAACTTTCTCACAAGCAAGCCAAGGAAGACCAGGTTGGATGAATGAACAATCGGGTGGATAGAAAAGTGGCTGGATTGTCAGGTTCAGAGGGTAGTAATCAATGGCTCAGTGTTTATTTGGCAACCCATATCAAGTGGAGTGCCCCAGGGGTTGGTCCTGGGGCAGTTTTATTCAATATCTTCATCAACAACCTGGAAGATGGGATAAAGTGTACCCTCAGCAAGTTTGCAGATAACACCAAGCTGGCTGGAGTAATAGATACATTGGAGAGTAGGGCTAAGATTCAGAGAGACCTCAACAAATTGGAGGATTGGACCAAAAGAAATCTCACGAGGTTCAATAAGGATAAATGCAAAGTCCTGCACTTAGAACAATCCCATGCACCAGTACAGACTGGTGACTAACTAGTTAAGCAGCAGCTCTGCAGAAAAGGACCTGGGGGTCACAGTGGACAGTAAGCTGAAGATGAGCCAACAGTGTGCCCTTGTTGCCAAGAAGGCTAATGGCATACTGGGATGCATTAGTAGGAACATTGTCAGCAGGTCGAGGGAAGTGATTCTTCTCTATTTTGCACTGGTGAGGCCAGATCTGGAGAACTGTGTCCAGTTTTGCACCCCCCACCCGCCCCAACACACACACAAAGGATGTGGACAAATTGGAGAGAGTCCAGCAGAGGGCAACAAAAATTGTTGGGGGCTCAGGCACATGACTGATGAGAGGCTGAGGGAACTGAGCTCATTTAGTCTAGAGAAGAGAAGGCTGAGGGGGTGCATCTACATCTGTAAATGGCTGCACAGTTGCTACTGCACAGTCATTTAGTACTTGCTTTAGCTTTAGCAAGTACTAAATGACCGTGCAGTAACCACTAAATGACGGTGCATGAGTTGTTTCCGACCCCACTTTGCATTAGTAACAAGCTACTGCATAGTAGTTCATTGCTACTGCACAGTAGCACTGGTGTCATGGGTCATGCCCACTGAAGCAACATTGCCACAGCAACAAGCTACATATAGCCTCTCATGTAGGCATGCCCAGGGGGATTTAATAGTATTCTTCAAGTACCTGAAGGGTGGTTACAAAGAGGATGGAGCTAGACTGTTCTCAGTGGTGGAAGATGACAAAACAAGAAGCAACTCATGTTGCAGCAAGGGAAATTTAGGTTAGATATTAGGAAAACTGTATCATCAGGAGGGTAGTAAAGTACTGAAACAGGTTAGCGAGAGAGGTTGTGGAATCTGCATCCTTTCAGGTTTTTAAGACCTAGCTAGGCAAAGCCTTGACTGGGCTGATATAGTTGTGGATGGTTCTACTTTGAGCAGGAGTTTGCACTAAATGACCCCCTGAGGTCCCTTCCAACTCTAATTTTCTATGATTCTATGAGTCTTCCAAATAAAACACAGTGTTTAAATACCAAACAAGCAAGTGAACAGACAAACAAAATCATCCCTTCTGCCCCTCCTCAAGCACTAGAACAGGAGCCCTCTGGCTCTGGTCCCAGCAGAGCAGTCTGGTACATCCATGCAACAAAATGTTTAGCTTACATCCTGCTTCCTTTCTCCTTGCAACTGTTCTCTCACAGCTCTTTCCTTTGGGGTTTTAAGCTCCCAGTGGAACACTCCCTTGTTAGCTGAAGGCCCAGCAGCTGAATATCCTATATCCTTAGCACAGCTGGCTACCCTTTCTTAAGGGGACAGAGCACCCTGTTACAGTCTGTTGAACCTTACTGTGCAGTGCTAACTTCCCACAGCAAAGGCTGTATGTCAGTTTAACATCTTCAATGCTTGTAACAGAATGTGTGAACATAGCCACTGAAGCATGATAATATATTGCAAGGCTTTCCATATTTAATCTTTTGTATATTTCTTTTTAAAATTTTCAGGTAACGTGGAAGACACTCTTTATGATTACTTTGTATTTTGTACACTTTCCTTGTGTATCTTTTACAAACACCATAAAAATGTTCCCCAGACTAGCATTTACTAACATAAGAGACTAATGAATAGAATAGGTTGAATAAAATAACTCTAAATGATGTTTCAAGCTCCTTTATAAAACATCTGAAATCACAGGAAGCACATCTTCAGTCACATGTAAATAATGTATTTCAAAGGCATAATTCTGTGTTAATATTTTATTTACATACAATAAAACTTTAATGACAAGTTTTTTCCAGACAAAGTGGAGAAGAAAACATTTTAATACATTTTTATGACCTGACAGTTGCTGCTATCAGTATTTAATTTTTCCAATCCAAGTTAAGCAATATGTAAAGAAACCTTAGCTCTATGTTGTGTTCCCTGTAGGAGATGCACAAATCTCTAACCAGTTGGAGAAAAAACAAAAAATGTGAAATGTCTCTGTGTGTTCCTTCTTTACAGATGTCTCAGTAAGCTTGCTATCCTTAGTTGTCACAGCCTGTGGACTTGCTCTGTTTGGTGTGTCTCTGTTTGTGTCCTGGAAGCTTTGCTGGATCCCTTGGCGAGAACGTGGCCTGCCTTCTGGAAACAAAGACAAGCAGGATTCGCTGAACTATACAGACACAGAAACCAATGACCATGAATATAGCGAGGATTACTTGGGACAGCCTACTTCCTACCCAGAGTCTTCCATGAAAATTAGCCACACTTCCCCTGATATTCCATTAGATGCTCAAGCAGGGACCAAGGAGAACTGTGTACACAATGTCCGAATGCATCGCCAAATCACAGAACCAACTTCTTCTGCTCGGTCAGTAGCACAATTTTCTTCTAATAATAAAATATTACTCTCCCAGTTTCAGCCCCATCCATTTTTAGACAGTATGCAGGCCAACAACAAATGTTTATTTACCTGTCTTAATCCTTTCACTTTAATGGTTATAGAAAATTATTTACTTGTTGGGGTGTGCTTCATGACAGACGGTTTAAGAAGGTGTGGCCATAATGGTAGTCCTTTTTTTTCAACCATAAACAACAAATGCACCATCTGCCTACTCCCCTCACAAACAAGAAAACTTGCCAAAATAGTGTTCTTCGGAACAAGAGAACAGTCTAGATTTGATCCTGTAAAGCATGTTCATTTATACTTATCGCTGAGGCTGAGCACTCAGTAATATCCCTGTGAAGATTTCAAAAACAACCAAAAAATAGGGCAAGCTAATGAAACACTTATAGGAGTCAGAAATAGGATTAGAAGTGATAGATTTTAGTTACAGCATTGACTATGGGTGAAAAACTGACTGAACAAGTTTGGATGCAGGCACAGGAAACTGAGCACCAGTATATGAGGGAACAGGAAAGGAGGAAGGTGACAGTGTGAGAGTGTGGAAGGAAAGGTGATAAAAAGATTATTCTGCACATGGCAATAAAAAGATCAGCTCTTGAACAGCCAATTAGTGAAGTTCTGAGCCAATGTAGATATACCGGAGCTGGAGAAGGTACAGCACTAGCCCCACAGTTCTTCAGTAACTTATTCTGGTCACCTGAATTAGCAAGTTTGGCAAAGACTCTTGACCACAGGCTGTTCTTTAAGATAAGGTGCAGTGAGAACAGCTAAGAGCTAGGGATTAAGTTCAGTAATTGCCAATCTTTCAGTGTTAATATCTTGATCTAGATCAGGGCTGTTCAACTTCTGAGTAGCTGGAGGCCACATGCTGTGCACCCTCCCCCTCCCCCCCCAATCACATGGGCTGCATGTCATGTGGGTGCCCCACCCCAGGCCCCAAGCCCCTTGGACTCTGTGGGCCCTGCCATCACATCCCACATCCAGGAGCACACCAGAAAACAGAAGCTGGATGATGGGAGTGGAGCCCAGAGATCCTGGCCTTAGCAGCCAGAGTGATGGTAGAAGTGGCAGCAAGGCATGAGCTTGCAGGCCAAGAGTTGTACGGCTCTGGTTTAGATAAGCAAAGACCCCAGTAAACAACAGGAATGCTCCTGAGTGCCTGGATAAATGTCCTTGTCTTTTTCTCAGTAGGCTGTAGATCAGTCCTAGGAATCTGTGACTATGGAAACTGAACCCAAGCAAGGATGCACCGTTGCATTACCAGCCACATGCAAGGTGGATTTCAAACTCTGGCACTGCATCCTACTTAAGATATAGGACACACAAGCAGATTGTCAATGAGAGAACATTTTTTTTTACTGACAGTCCACAAGCTTTACGAACAACCAAACTTTTTTAATTATGTGTTTTTTACATAATATAAAGGAAATGTAAAATACAAAAATACACACGTAATTGGTACAGTTCATAGGCACAAGAGGATTTTAATTCTCTCCCCTATGCCCCCAGAAGCCAGGGACTTTTTAATATTCTCAATATAATTCCCAGAGTTTTCTATCATATTCACATTTTCACTGTTTTTGTAAAGCAAAATTCTTCCTTCAGCAGTGAGAGCTAAAGCCTTACTAGGCACAAGGCAGTGGAAGCAAGAAAATCCAGTGCTGAAACCACAAAGAGACAAATTTCTCAATCATGCAAGGAAAAGGAAGACTATGAAATTTACTCACCCAAATAATTATATCTTCTTAGTCCTAGATCAGCAGCGCTCCCTACAGAAAAGCTAGTTTAGGACTGGGGAGTGACAGTTCCTGAAGTTTTACCTCAGAAGAAAGGGAAGGAGAAATTCTTTTGAACCTTCTCTCCATCCCTTCAAACACTTAAATATACAGTTTGGAAGGGAACCCTAAGAAAGGTACCGGAAAAAAACAAGTCCGCTCATTTTAATTCCCTTCCTACATTCAACTGGAGCCCCTAATGCCATGTGCCTTTTCATATTTCCTTTCTGTATGAGCAACTCTGACATGGAAGATGTGACATGCAGGCTGATGACAGGAAGCATGTGTATATGAGACAGTCTAGTACTTGAAACCAGGACACCAGGGTTCTAGTCCTTGATCAGTTATGAATTCGCTGTATAACTTTCATCTAATTTCTGTACTTCAGTTTTCCCACCTTTTCAAAGTGGATACTGTATTAACCCACAAGTCTGTATTTACCTCTTGTGTTGCATTACGTCGATCTTCTTTAAAGAAGGGTAGGGGTTAAGTTGTCTAATTTTTTTATTTGTGACATGATAATATTTTGTCATGGAAAACTACTAATGTATAACTACATAATTATGCTTTTATTATGTAGCAAGGGAGAAAAAATAGTTGGATTATGAGAGAGAGAATGTTTCTGTTTTAACACATATACACACATTTACAAGAAATGAATGATCATATGAGAGGAAATATTGCTGATTACATTCAGCATAAATAGTCTTGACTAATTGTAACCTAAGATTTTTCCCAGGTGTTCCCTTTTATGTGCACTATGCTTTGGTTCTTCAATATGATGCATGATTTTATGTATTAATAAGAAAAAATTGTAAAATCCAACTCATAAAGATGAGGGCTTTTACCTAATCCAACTTTCTCATCCAACTGCCCTACAGGGACTGCAAATTTGATTTCTGCCATTTTCTTGTGAAGTGGAAATTTCAATCACAATAACCAAGTGACTCCAGATAATAAATCTCACTGGACCGAAGCTAAAAGGAACTTTCTCTCCTAGGAGTAATAAAACTAAAGCAGTCTTTCAGCCTAACTACTTACAGTGTTTATAACATCTGCTGGTAGTTATGAGAGAAGGACCACAGCAGAAGGAAAAACATTGATAGAGATGGGCAGCAAACCATTTAAATTAAAAAGAAACAGCTTGTAAATCAAATAGTAGCTTTTATTGATAAGTTATTAATTTACAGCTGTTGGGAAATACCTCCCTCCCATTTCAGTCTTTTCTCTTCCTACCAGATATCAATAAACTCACCTAAAGCTATGTGATGGGTAAAGAGACAGATTCTCCTCTCCATTATATAGGCATAAACCATTAAATTGTGTGGGATTGGGCTGAATATTTATAAAGTCCTTTCATGGCAAATAATAGGAATAATTATTATTACAAATGTACCTATGGGACTAATTCATACTTCATGGTACTAAATCCATTGATTTCTCTGAATTTATATCTGGCATGGGAGGGCTGCATTTGCTGTTATATGCAGTTATATTAAATCATATATACATTTATAACTTAATGGAAAGGTGATTTGGCAGCTTTCCAATTAGCTTGGCTATTGGGGGGGAAGGGTGTTACAAGCTTCAACTGACTTTGGAGAGTATATTCTGTGAGCTTAAGGTAAAAGAATTGTGCATTATACAAGCATAATAAATCTAATGATGAAGATGAACTGTAATAATATTTCAATTATAGAAATATTGCTCTATTAAAAAGGGATCGTGTGCTATATATGTTCATGCAATCTAAAGGCATGATTAAATAAGCCCAATGAAATTAAAATAATGTCCAGACAAGAATCACACAACACCTGACAATATAATCAATTTAGCTTCTTTCATGTTTTGCTTAAGGCACAATTCAATCCGAAGACAGCTCAACCTTTCAAACCCAGACTTCAACATCCAGCAGCTTCAAAAACAGGAGCAGCTGACTGGGATTGGACGCATTAAACCGGAGCTGTATAAGCAAAGATCAGTGGACACTGATGACGGGCGGAGAAACAACAGCAAAGCCTGTGGGAAGCTCAACTTTATTTTGAAATATGATTGTGACTTAGAGCAGCTGATTGTAAAAATTCACAAAGCTGTCAACCTGCCAGCAAAGGACTTTTCTGGGACTTCAGACCCTTATGTGAAGATCTATTTGCTTCCAGATAGGAAAACAAAACACCAGACTAAAGTGCACAGAAAAACCCTAAACCCAGTATTTGATGAAGTTTTCTTATTTCCTGTTCCATACAATGACCTGACCACAAGGAAGCTCCACTTCTCTGTGTACGACTTTGACAGGTTCTCCAGGCATGACTTGATTGGCCAAGTGATAGTGGATAATTTTTTAGATTTGACAGACTTTCCCAGGGAATGTAATATTTGGAAGGATATTGAATATGTCACCAATGTAAGTATCCCAGTTTTTCATTTTACAATTTTATATTTCAGTGTAACAACTTATTTATAACCTTGACCTGTTTTAAACTGATCAAATTGGTCTCTATGATACATTTATGGAGAAAATTATTCTTTTGTCTCTCTATCGGCATTTGACCTTAATCCATAGAATGTGTTAATATATTTCCAGTCATCATTTTACTTTTATAGGATTTTTTTTTAATGTAGTATCTATGGAAGTTAATCACATCCCTGTTAATAACAGAAAAAAGCTAGAGAAATATGCTTTCTAACCCCAATTTACCATGAAAAATGCTATTTTGCCCTTTTTCCCTTTATATATGTGTTATTTATTATCTGTCACATTTGTGTTGGCATACAATTTACCTGAGTGTACAAAGTGAAGGACCGTATGGCTTTCCTCAATCCTGCAAAGTCAGCTGACATTGCATCTACAGTCCTGGTGAATTCTTGACTCTGAAAGCTGGCACTAGCAGTTACCAGTCAATGTCACATAAGATGTGGAAACGCCAAACTGTGCAATGAAACCCTTCAGTTCACATTCCAAGGATCAAGTCACAGTTAGTACATTTGCATAAAAGCATACCGCAGGCGGTTCTTGCCTGAGGTAAATGTTAATAAATACAGAGCAGGTTTAAAAAGAGAAAATTTGAAGCCCCATGGGGAGGGAGGGAGGGAGGGAGTTAGGCAGGGCTGGGCCTGGGGATGCTGCCCAGCCTGGTGCCCAGGGCTGGAAAGCATGGCTGCAGGGCCCTGGTGGGGAGTGAGATGGGGCTGCGGGTGGCTCATCCAGGGGGCAGAGGGGAGTGGGGCCAGCTTCTCATCACTGCACATACTCCTAGGGGAACCCATGCCCCCCAGATCTGTGCACAGGGCAGGGGCAGGGGCAGGGGTGAGTGTGGACTGCTGTGGGCTCGGGCTCCCTGTCTTGTTGCCATTCCCCAGGGCCTCTGCAGCCCAGCGGGTGGAACCTGGCGCAGCAGAGCAGAGTAGGGCCAGGCCCAGAAGCTCCTTGCTTCTGTGAGACCCATGTCTCCCTGGCAAGGTGTCTCCTGCCTGCCCAGCTGCATTAAAGGCGGCGGCACAGGGTTGTGCTCCTCACTGCTCCAGGGCAGGCAGGGGGCACATCACAAGGGCAACACAGAGTTTGCAGTGACAAGGAGCTACCCCACCCAGCCCTGCTCTGCCTTTTTCATGCCTGGTCCCACACAGCTGCAGAGGCCCCAAGGAAGGTCAGCGGAGTGGGGAGCCTGAGCCTGCAGCAGGCAACCTGCAAACACCTCTGCCCCCCACACAAATCTGGGGGGCATAGGTCCCCCTGCCCCAGCAGGAGTGTGTGCAGTGGTGGTGCCTGAGCCCACAGAAGGCTGCCTGCCCCCACACAGGCTCCAGTTCAGCCATGCCACCCATGGGAGAAGGGGAGCCAGGCTCCATGCTCTGCTGTGCTGCAGCAGTTGCCACCTCCCATGGATGGCAGCCAGGGCTAGGTCACTGCTGTGAGGGGCAGGGGCCTGCAGACCCAGGTCCTTGGCCCCATAGCTCTGGCAGCTGGGGTCCCCTCTGGCAAGGCTGGGAGGGGCAGGGGAATGTGGAGGAGAAGTGAAGGGCACCAGCAGTGCCAGGGAGCTGTGGGGGAAGTGAGGGGCACCAGCAGATCTCGGGGGCAGTGGTTGGGGAGTAAGAGGCACCAGCAGAGCGGGGGGGCTGTTGGGAGGGGGAGAGTAAGAGACCTGCTGGACCTGTGTTCTGTGAGCTAAGGGAGCAAGGGGAAATATTGTTTTCCATGATAAAAAACCCCAAATCAAATACCAAAATGTATAGGTATTTAGAATCTATTCTATACTAGTGATTGAGGTACTGATAGGCTTCCAAATTGCTTTAAAATTGTATATATATATATATATATAGTGGTGTTTCATTTTAATAATGGATTTGGGGATTTTTATCAGCGAATTTGTGATTTTTTTCAGAGAATTTGCTATTTTATCAGAGAAAACCAGGATCCCTGGTTATGAATCACAAATAGCATCCTTTCAGAGACCAGGGACTTTATTCTGCTCTCAATAGGCAAATGTCTCTGCAGTGTTAATGGGAATAAAGCATGTTTCTTCACTGGAAAATAGATGCTACATGAATAAAATGCAAAGTTCACAAGGTGAAGGTATTAGTTTCATAAGCTAGTAAATATTTCATTTGCTTTACAAAACTGAAATCTTGTGGGTGTCAGTAAACCAAACATTTTAAACAATAAAATCAAAGAACTGCAAGTGTTTCAGACCCTTAATCAAGAAAAACATGTAAGCATGTGCTTACCTTTAAGATCCTGTTGATGTCAGTGGAAATTATATTTAAAGTTAAGCAAAAACATATTTGTTGTCCTGCTAGGGATGAATCAAGTCCTAACTGTCAATGTGGCATATAATTGAGCCCGGAGCTAAAATGCTAATTGAGTTGATGGTGGGGGAGGGGGAGCACTTGGAAATTTATGTGGGCATTATTTGATGCCCTCTTCTTTGTGTTCCTAGTATGAAAAATATGCTGCATACTAAAATGGCACTACAGGAGCTAAAATCTATTCTTACCTTAATAAGGGTAAAGAGTAGAGAGAGAGCAGAGTCTGGTCTAGATTTGAATCTACTTTCGGACCTAAAGTTCAATGATGGCTAAAATCAGGTTTGGTCCAGTATAGTTATAGGCCCCAAACACAATATTTTGATTGGGATTTAAAACCTTCAAATTCTATATGTGATTAGAGTTCAGGTACAGTCCTATCCAGGGACGGATCCAGCATTTGGCAAAGGTGGGTGTGGGAGCAACAACCTAGCTGCAGGAGTGGCTGCATCCTGCTCCCAACATCCTCCCCCACCCCCATGGGCAGACCACACTATGGGAGCCCCCAGAGCAGGGGTGGGGAGACAGGCTCACCTGGAGCAATGACTGTGGCAGCCACAATGCCCCCACCCTGCCCAGTCTCCTCCAGGAGCTGGTATGGGAAGGGAACTGCCACTCTCAGCTATCAATGCTGCTTCTGCTGATGTCCCAGCTGAACCCAGCCCTCAGGCATTCCTATTAGGGTTACCCTATGTCCAGGTTTTCCTGGACATGTCCTCTTTTCTGGCCCCCTGTCCTTGTGTCCAGGTGGGTTTTTAAAATGAAAGCAAATGTCCAAGTTTTTGCTCTTTCTCTGCTTTCCCAGGCTGGCTGCCTGGGGATGGGAGCAGCAGGCAAGGTGATTGGCTGTTGAGGGTCCTCCTCCCCCTCCCAGGCATCATCTTTTTTGACACTGGAAATAGGGTAACCCTATTCCTGCTTGAGTGGCCAGGAGTGCCTCTAAATCTTCCCCCACCTCTGGGACAGTGGGCAAAGCAGCAGGCAGAGCAGAGGGGAGGGAAGAGAAGGGGATAGACATGACTGAGCACAGAGGGAAAGGAGGGATTATCAGCTGCTTGAGGTATTTTAAAAAAGTCCCCAGAGATTCCCAAGGAGTGGTCCAGTCTGAAAGGGGTACCATACCATTGCACCCCCTCTGGATCCACCCCTGGTCTCATCAGCACAGTTTTAGTAAAGGTTTGTTCTACGATAAAACAGAGAACACCGAGTATATGCTCATAAACAGGGTTTGTAGCTAATAGGGACTTTATCACTGCAAATGATGCACAGCATGAGACAGCCCAGATTTGCCTAATGTTGGTTCCAGATAAAAGGTTCACATAAACGGGTTCTCACAGTATTTAGCTTTCCAATTAACATTTCCAAAATTTCAAAGGTTGTATTCAGTTTAATAAAATTATGGCAAACTAGCACAGGATTATTCAAGAAGTTGAACTGAATTACAGTCATTTGAGTTAGTTCTCTTAGTAGCCATTAAGACTGGCAATAAAATCTCAAATCAGCAAAACTGTGCAAAACTCACTTAATTTCATCCAAGCTCTGAATCAAAGGCAAGGATTATGAACCTTTGAAATAAAACTGAGCTGGGTTATGCGAGCTGATTTATGGTTGTGAAGAGGACCTGTATCGACCCTGGCAGCTTTGACTGAGTTTAGCTTCGAGCGTCTTGTTTGTTTCAAACCCGAAAGTCAAAAATAGCGAAAGGCCATGCAATCCCATTAAAGTTAATAGAGTTTCACAGCACATAAATCAATAGAGAATCCAGCACAAGTAGGTGTGAACCTGCTTAAAACACACACACAAAAACCAACAAACCCCACAGAATTAAACCTGCCAAGTTAGCCACTGATTTGTTATTTCATCTGAAAATATATATTTCAGTTCCCCATGTATCTCATTACATTATATAGGCATAGGGTGACTATATGTCCCATTTTCTCTGGGACAATCCCCGTATTTAGAGGCTGGTCCCAGCTGACTGTTGGGAATTATAATGGGTGTCACAGAAACGCAGGGGCGCAGGGCACTGTCTGGCCAGGAGTTAGAGTGGAACGAAGCACCTTGTAGGTTGGCAGGCAGGCGCTGCTGCCTACCCGATATGTGGCCCCACCCCACTTGTGAGACCGCTGGTGGGGAGGGAGGGGGTCGAGTCCCAGGTTTCCCAGATGATGTCCCAGATTTTCAGGATTTCCTTATGGTCAGCCTATATAGGCAAGGATTGCATGTCCCATTTTACATCATTTTCTATTGTATTGTATTGTATTCTAGTCCAGTTTCGCACAGCAATGTAACAATGCACCAAATCCACTTTTACTGAATATCTAACACAATAGTCTATTTCAAGTAAGTATTGCAGATTGCACATGAAATAAGCCAGCTTCACCACAAACAGAAACATTGAATTCACTAATTAGATGGTGTCACAACAGTGTCTTCTTTCTATTTTCTAATAAAACTAAAACTTTGTTTTGGTCAATCTACAGGGGCTTTGATTCTTCTCATTTCATATTCTGGTGCCATCTCAGGCTTTGAAATCTTTTTATAGTATCATCTTATGCAGTTGGTTAGTAGCAATAGGTTTCACATTATGGAGAATAA